ACGCTTGTATGTCTCGGAACGCACAAATGACTTTTCTGAATGCTTTTGAAAAGGCGGCTTGAATTTGCAAACGCAACGCCGTTCTCTGAAAGCGCAGGCTTGTTCTGGTCGAACAAGTATGTGAGCTTAAATCTGAACCTGCTTCACTTTGTTCTCAAGGGCATGGTTGACAGGGTAAGGTGGCTGGCAGAAGCTTCTCCTTCGTGGCCGACTTGTCCTCGAAGGCTTCTTGCCCAATTCACTGCTCTTCGTCGGTGGTCCCCTGGTTCATCTCCGGCTTCTGCTGCGGGGCTCTTGCTTTCCTTGGACTTGGGATCTTCCTTGTCATCATGGAGCAGCTAGGTGCCATTACAACTCAGCTACAGCTTTTGAGTTCCAGCAGGATGCTTTGGAGGGGCCATGGGAAACCATCTCCTCCTGTTGCAAGCGTTGTTCAAGAACCCTCCGTTGGCAGGAGGCCCAGACTTCCGGCCGTGTCAGACGCCCCTGGTTCAGGGGCTGGCCTACAGCCCTCTATTGCTCAGCAGCTGAGGCAAGCAGGGCCTCCGCCTCGAACAAAACAGCAAGTGGGTGTGGCAGAGAATGCAATACCTACTCAGGGAGGAGAAGAACCCAACGAACTTTTGTTGGGGGATGTGGACCTGAGCCAGACATCAGGTTTGATAGTCAATGCGCTCTCAAAGCAGTCGTCGGCGCTCACAGCATTGGTGGCTCACATCTCTGCTCAGGGAGACAACCTGCTAGATTTCAGCTCTTCCTCTCAAAGCTCATCGGCTATGAAGGGGGGTGCAGAAGCGGGAGAGGCTGCAAGCCGAGTTGGCGCAGAGGTCGGGCAACTTTTTCCTCCTCCTAATTACTCCTAATGCAACAGATCCACAAGAAGACTCACCCGGGCAAGATCGTTCCAAAGTCAGAAGAGGAGCTTGGAGAGGTACCCTTTCTCAACTATCTGAAGGAGTCAGGTGGGTAGAAAGGCCAGCGGTCCTTGGGGCTCATTCAATGGATTCTGGCACACGCAATAGATGCAATGGCCCAACAAGATCTCAAAGGGGCGAAGGACATGGTGGCTCTGCTTGCAATGTGTGTCGAGCAGGCCAACTACGACTCGATTGGACGGTGGCATATCTCATCAGCCTTCTCGAGGAGCCGCCTATTGTGTTGTTCCAAGAGAGGACAGCTGCCATCATGAGTACAGGAAGACCCTTCGCCCTCTGATTCCGCCTACATGGAATGCAGTGACCTTGGGGTATATAAAGGACATGGAGCTCCTGGCCACCAAGAAACCAGAGGTCCTCAAGAAGAAGGGGTCAGAGAAAGCCCAAGCAGAAGAGACACCATCGCCCAAAAGAAAGCCCAGGTTTCCAAAGCGCCCAAAAGCGGCGCAGGAGGAGGCGTGACAATAGATGGTGGCCCTTCGCTGCATGGAATTCAAAATATTGGTGAAGCGCCAGAGAAAGCGCAGATTTTGTCGCCGCTATGTTCTTCTGGGAGCTTCCCTCAAAAGTTCTCATTTTGGCGATGGTGTTCGGGCGTCGTGATTTCAATACGACGTACTCGGTCGCCATTTGCCGCATTTTTGTTGTCTACTCTGCATTTGCCTCGGAGTTCTTCATTGACTTCGACATCGCCACTATTCCCTGTCCCTCTACCTGAGCCAGGTATTTTTGACAGGATGCCTGCACATGCATCGCTTAGCCAGAGGAGGCGTCTGCACTTGAAGCGTGTGTTACATGTTTTGATTATGGCTCTGAACTACTGGCGCGGAGGTTTGGGTGTCTTCCCGAACAAAGCGTTGTTGCAGAGATGCCCATCCAAAGTTCACCGAACTATATACCACAAGGTGATGAGCATTGTAGTGGCTGACGGCCCCGAGTCAGCATCCTTCAAGGTGCTCAAGAGCGGCCGGCGTTTTCCTCAATTAGGCGCACGTTTGGGAGAGCTTTCAGACTGTCTATCAAAACGGGGCCCTGCAGGACCGTACAGTTTTATGTTCAAGGGACACGAGGTTCCACTGGACAATGATCGCTTGCCGGAGCTAGCAGACCTAGGCTATGCCATCACACGGCCAGGGCATGCCTTCCACTTCCATCAAGCCATTGGTGCGGCTGCTAGGTCAGGGGTAACAGGAGTGCATCAATGGAGTACCAGCGCCCGAGTGGCACAGGAAGTGTATGAACCACTCATTGGCATTCAATACCCGATGCTTTGTGGTCCCAAGAACGGGCAATGGCACATTGGGACCGTCTCAATCCGAGAGAAAGGGGCCATGGCAACTGGGCTGCGGTTTGTCAACTGGGAGCATCGTGATCATAGAGACGAGGCTCGAGCAGAACCGCCGCCAGAGGCTACTGTAGCGGCCTACAGGTGTATTGAGCGCTGGCTCCCTGACACCGTTTGACTGGCGTGGGAGGTTTTGATGCTTCCACCTTTCTGGTCGGCATCTGACACGTGTATTCAACAATTTCTAAAAATCTGGATGAAGACAGACAAATTGGAGATTGCCGGGGTCGCAATTTTTGCTAGTGTCATTTGCCTGGACCAAGTCAGTTTCTGCCTGCAGGTAGTGACCTCCTTGATTTATACGTGGAGCCAAGACATCTGCGAGTCTATTGCACAGATAGAAAAGATTTTTATCATCAATTTTGGACTACAGCGGCAAAAGCGAGAGCAAATGCGGTTGGTCCTGCAGTTCCGTTGTCTAGCCTGAGAGGGCTTGCAGCTTTTGATAAAGGAACAGGGAGGAGGTTGGCGATGGACTTCATCTGCCTCTCCACAAAGAACCTGTTGTTGACAAGCCGGAAGAGAACAAGGATGTCTTTATTTGCTTCAAAGCATTGTTTCAAGGAAATCATGCAGGAGTAGAGATAGCTACTGGGGCACATGAACAGCTCCTTAAGTCAAGAGGACTGCTCGTCGACTCCGAGAGGATTGTCTCCAATGTGCCCTTTGCTGGTGGGGATTTGCGCCAAGGCCTCGTCATTGATGATTATTTTGCAATTTCCAGGGAGGCTAGGACCACTCCAGCAGAGCAGAGTTTGGCAGCCTCCTGCTTTAGCAAGAGCCAACGAGTCTATGATGAGTATGGCATATTGGGCTTCCCTGCAAAGGACGTGAAAGGTGAGACGCGTGCGAAAATCATTGGCGCTGAGATCAACTCAAGCAAACGTGCTGGACAGAAGGGAGTGGCCACTTTGGGCTCCCCCTCTATGCAAGAGGTTGTCGCTTAGCCAGATAATGCTGCAACTGGCACAACTTCGGAGCACCGCCGACGTCCTGCACTTATGTTTGCTGGGGGGTTGGACATCAGTGTTGACGTACAGGAGGCCTATGATGAGTGTCCTTGCTCATGCCCATGGTCTGGTCGATGCAAACAGGGTTGATTCAAATCATCCGCGCCTCCTTCCTCTACCTAGAAGAGTTGTTGATGAGTTAGTCCTTTTGGCTGTGCTTGCACCTCTAGCGGTTGCCGACCTGGGGGCGTCTTTTATGGATGAGATCTATTCAACTGACGCTTCTGAGTTCAAAGGAGCTTCGACTGTTGCTGAATGTACCACGGCGCTTTCTGAGCTTCTATGGCGTTCAGGGCGATGCAAGGGTGCCTATACAAGGCTGAAGACTCCTCATGAGGCGATGTTGCAAAGGCTTGGCTTGAGAGAAGAGGGAGCAGATGATGATGAGGCTGGTCCATTGCTTCGAAGCTCAGCAGTTGGTCGACCATTGGTATTCAAGTATGACTTCATAGAAGTGTATGCTGGAGCCTCGAAAGTTTCTGCAGCTGCTTCAGAACTGGGGCTGGTTGTTGGTCCATATGCTTTCAGCAGTGAATATGACATGGCCTCGGCGCCAGTGATTGGCTGGCTCTCACACATCATGTCAACAGGGCTTCTGTCAAGCGCTATGGTGGAGCCCGTCTGTACAACATTTTCTATGATCCGCCGGCCTCCCCTACGGTCGCAAAGCAAACCTGTGGGGTTCAATCCGCTGGAGAAACACACCAGGTTGGGGAACATTCTGGCTTTGAGTGCTTTTACAGATTGCCTACAGACTTGGACCTCCATGATGCGCTTCCTGCCTCAGTGGTCTGCTATTTCCCGCCGTTCGGGGTCGATGCTGGTGTCGTATCGATAAGTTGAAACGACAATGCCAGATGCCACACGAACCCAGATGCCTCCAGGTCTAGCGCGCCCACCCCCTATTCCTGGGGTGCCTAGTGCAAGACCAGCTTCAAAGGCTCGCTTATTATTAAGGGAAGTTGATCGAGACAAAACTGTCAAAAAAATCAATGTTTTTCAGACTACAGTGAGCACAGCCGCTAAGCCTAGTTTGTAATTTGTATTGGGGGTTGAGTGAGGTGCTTGTTCTAACATCTTTTGACAAGAGGGCGATCCCACCTTTCTTCAGGCCTCTGGACATTGGGCATGGGGTGGCAGCACTGGGGGTGTGGCCTTCGTACCACCGAAGCGGCCTCCACCTCTCAACACCGTGCAGGCAGGTATCACCGAAGGATGGGGCAGTGTAAAATGTATCTCGACAGGAAAGGACGGTGGGTGAACACATGTGTGACAACCTGTGTTGTACCATTAGTTTCAGGATCGACAGGTATGCAACAACATGTGCTCAGGCGCAAGCAGGTGCTGCTGCGGCGACCTTGCTGGTGCGGCAGAAGCCACAGGAAATTATGTTATTGCCTAGTCAGTCTCGCTTGAGCACTTCATTCCCTTCCGACTTTCAGACTTGTACTTGTACTGATTGGTGTTTTTCATTGGGAGACTCTTTTAGTGCCTTTCAATTGCCTGCTGCAGCACTTTCTGGAGGCATTGAATCTGCACTCATGAGGTCAGATATTTGTCATAGCCACGAGTGTCAAGTCCAATCAACGAGGACTTCTTCACTTTTTGGATTCAAGCCGAACTAACCTATTGCATCAAGCCGCCTTCCCTCACGCTGCAACATGCAGGGCAGCTATTTTGCTTGACAACTTGTCTCCGCCATGGCATATCATGTTTCGCTTTGCTTTTGTGCTGGCGATTTCAAGCGCCCAGCCCTGGCCACCGTGTCCACAACGTGGCTGTGCAGGGCTGACTGTGTTTGCGTTCTTTCTACTTTCCAAAACTTTATGCCAAGTTGAACCTGCACTTTGCTTTCAAGCGTTGAAAGCTATGTAGTTTGACTGCATGTTTTTAGTTACTGTCTTGGCCATGCTGTGTTATCGATAAGGGCTTCTGAGAGAGGCCCCTGTGTCGTGACAGATGAGGCTTGCCATGTCCAGACTTTTCGGATGGTCGGCCAAATTGCACTTGTTTGGAGGCAATCCATCACGTCCCTTTCCCACACAGTCTTGCTTGATTGATCATGGTAAATGCATTTAGGGAGGTGTTCCAATCTTTGTCACCTGAAGGTTCGTCAATCGAGCACTGAAGTCCTTTGCCCCCCTTGAAGTTTTCTTACACATTTACATCTAGCATGAAAACTGGGTTTTTGCTGCCGCTTTCGATATGTGTTTGCTGTTCTGCAACCTTCTTTTCGTGTTTACAGTAGCATGTATGAGGACTAGACACACACTAGTTTTTGAGTTTATCATGACGTCACCCCAGGAAGCCTTCCCATGCATGCAGTTGCGGCGATACTTGTTTGGCCATTGTAAGATATTTACTAACACGCTTGGAGAAGAAGGCTCATAATTTGCGAAGCCATGTTCAACGACTGTATTTTTGCCACAGGGCTACAGCCTCAATGGCTCCTCTTTGGGTGGAGACCGCGTCGGCCTGGAATGGGACACAGTTCAAGGCCGTATACCCCTTTTGAGCTCTGCTCCAAAAACTCGACATCCTCTTGATTTTCATACGTACATTGAGTTTTTGAAACCTTTCTCTTTGTCTTTTCTCAAGTGCGGAAGTTTGAGGTTGGCTTGGGTCTTGCCAGCCGGTGATTTGCGGCCAAGTACAGGGTCCAGCGTATGCTCAGGCCTTGCAGGAGTCAGCTCCACAATTTCCCATTTCCTGATGCAATTTGCAAGAGAGGGTGGACCCGAAGACCCCCATGTGGGAGGACATTCCAGTCAGCAGATTTGGTGACATGATTCAATATGCCTGCAATGTGGGCTATGCCCGGGCCTGATTCCAGCACTGCACAACCAGATGAAACAAAGGATTGTGCCAGATTGCAAGAAACTGAGGAAGTTGAAGGTTATGGAAGCTTGGGCCAGTGGCAAGTGACTTTTGCACCTTCCACTGGGCCTCCAGGTTGGACTTCCCACCTTGAGAGAAAACGTGGTTGAACCACCAATGTGCAGGTTTGAAGCTTGTGCTAGGGAATTTCATGGCCCGACAAACCGACTGCAGGCGTCCCAGCACAGCGCTTGGTGCGATTGCGCTGCTCTGCTCAAGGGACCTTTGAGAATCTCACTGGACAACGTTGTGTGCCTTGACTACAACGAGATGTGGCCAGACGCTGGAAGATTTATATACTGTATACGGTAGGACCTACTCTTCCATCAGAACCACCAAAACACCAGAAGTACGGTGGTTTTCCGGATCCACAGTCCATGGTTCAGGATTTCTTCCCTCATCATCGCGAGCGCACGTCAAATCTCGCAACTACACCCACTCTGGAGCAGACCGTAGTGAAGAACAAAGAGAGAACATGCATCTAATCTAATTAGGCACCAAGGGTAGAGGAATGTTTTACGAGGACGGAATGAGCAGCTCCATCATCGAACAAGTGTACCCATTGCAGGCGCTCGTCATCGACTGTTCCTTTCGGAAGAACTCTCCCATACGAGTTGTTGTCGTTGGGCACCAGATCACCGGGAAGTGCTTGGCAACAATCAAGTTGAATCAGTTGCTTCAACATGGATCGAAAGACCAGGATCAAATGATGGCAAAAACAACTGACCCCATGCTCAAGTTGGGAGTGACGATAGCCTTTCCACCAAAAGAGACACGCCAGCTCAGTTGTAGCAACGCACATATTGGGGTCATGCTTCTATCTGAGACCTTGGAAGAATTCTTGACAATGCTGCCAGTCCTCCTCAGTAAAGGTCCAACGATCCGGAGGCTTCTGCCTTGAAAGGATCTTTGGCCTCCATGGATAGTCAGTAATGGGACTTGCCCACGACCATTGCGGGAACCTCGAAACAACTGAATGAACGGGCTCAACAGTCTGCTTTGGAGCCTTGGATTTATCGGGAGAAGGTTGAGTCATCTCCAAGACCCAATTCAGCATCACCAACCATTCTTGGCGATAAAGCGCAACAGTTTCGACCACCTCCTGATCCTTAGGATGTATGGGTGATCGTTCCGTAGCAATGCGTTTGGCTTCTTTGTCAGCGCGACTGTTGACAATGATGTCCTGCGCAGTAGAACCATGTTGTCTTGCAGCTGCCTCAGTATTCTGCAGGTATATGTTCCAGTAAATGGCTTGGCGTCCATAACACCTGGATAGGAGCATCACAAAGTTGTGAACGCTGCAGCCACAAGGAAAGAATTTCGGACCACCAATTCTGATGTGACCAACTTGCGTGCACGCTCTGTGTTTGGCAAAGTTCCAAAAATTGGCTTACAATGGATTGGCAGTCGGTCTTGATGACAATGCGACAGCTAGCCTGTTTAATGGCCCTGAGTAACGCGAACAATTCAGTGGTGTACTCCGGGGAAATCTTCCATAGAACACGGGTCTCGAAGTTAGTGCTCATTAACATGGCACACCTGCAACGGTGACCTCCTGGGGAAATAGGAAAGCACCGGTTGAGACTATGTGGTCGAGGCTATGTGGTTTTTGGAGACTAACATAGAACACTCTCAAGTAAGCATGGCTAGTTTCTGCAGCGGAACCGCAGACGCTAACATAGAATATGCCTGATGGCCAACAAGCAGCTATGTGTTTGATCTTGAAATGTTCCATGTTAGACTCGAAGCATCCAACAACCCCTGGGATTTCCCAAGCTTGTAAACTAACATAGACCACCCGAGGTGGCTCGAAACATGCTTTCGATTATGCCACGTTAGACTCTCCAGCGTCCAACCTTACCCAGATTTCTCCGGTTTGTTTCCACAGCTTTTCAATACTAACATAGATCCAAATCTTAAGGACACGCACTAGCCAAAAGCAGCCACACTAACACGGCACAAGGATTTTTTTTTAGAGATGTTAGATTTCACCGGTGAAGGCTGAAAGTTCCCACATTCGACAATCTGGAGGTTGACGTTCACGATAGCATATGCACCTGTGGACAGCCAGAAATAGTCGCCCCACTGGACAGATCCATCATAATCCATCGGTCCAAAAAAAACTCGCACTTGGTGGGGTCAAATACATGACTAGAATCTCCAGTGGAGGAGGTCTTGAAGCGCCACACTCCTTGGGTGAGAGCACAATCCAAATATAGAAGAATGGGGGCCAAACTTGTGGTCATGTGGTCTAGGGACGGCTGCATGAACTCCAGGACACGAGATCGCGCAATCGGCACTTGGGAGAATCAAAAAGTTTGGCATGGAAAAGCCTATCATTTGTCAAGCATCCCACCTGGACGGATTCGAAAAATTCACGAACGGGGAACGGAGAATCAAGTTTCAAATTCGACTTACGCAGAAAAATGGAAGACAAGTCTGGGTCAAAAATAGTAGCACATTT